CAACTTGCGCAGCTCCCTCCACAAATTTTGAGTGCTCCCAGTTCTCATTTGCTCAGTTAAGTAAGCTCTTTTTTCACACTTAATTGCATTAGTCGTATAATTCCGCAATTGCTTATAATAGTCCCAGTGAGCTACATGATTAGTGCGTTTAAATTTATTTAAAGCTTTGTCACGCAACGACATCATCAATTTTACATTATTGGTAATCCACGGACTAGACTGTCTAGGAATAATTGTACAAATTGGCGCATGTATATCGAAAAGATTGGAGATATTACAGCTTAGGAAATCGACCATATCATCCACACTATCCATGTGAAATATTAAATGCCAATCAATGTTGGCTAAATCCCGAGAAAATAATTCATAGTCGAAGAGTCTATACGAACGAAACGACACTGGCTTCCCAAGTTGCACCTGAGCCTTCAATTTTAATTCACAAAACGTCAGGCAGTGATCCGAAAGTTCGTGAACATCAATCACCTGTGAATCCATGATCGAAACGCACTCAGAAACAGCAATGATATCGAGGAGCGTGGAATTATGACCTATTCTTGTCGGTTTATCAACTATTTGAATCATATAACTATGTAAAATTGCATCAACGCGAGAACATTACTGTCATTTATTAGTAAGTTCAAATTACAATCACCCACCAATATTAAACCATCACCCAACAAAAACATATCCGCTAGAGTTTAATTCAAAGTCGATAGGAACATCCGGGTGTCAGTGTTAGGAGGTCGATAGCATATACCTACCATAAAAGTACCAGAATCAATTCGAATCTGCAACCACAATTGCTCCAAAAAAGTGAAACACTGCGTAGGCAAAACTTTGTGTTTGATATTATCACGAATATAGAACGCCACNGATCATTACTTCTTCGAAGTCGGCGAGCTGTTTCTTCGTTACAACCATCCCTTCAATTTACCCACTTCACACTTTAATATTTTAACTTTTGAAAAGTTGTAAAAAACAATGTTTCACACTGTTATTAACTACAGAAATTGTTAGTTAAAATTTTATCCATACGTCTACAGACGCGAAACAAAGAAGGTTGTCGACGGGACAGAAAGACGTGTTCACTCGGCCACGAGCATAACTCTTCTTTCTTTTAACTTTGGCTTTTAGAGAGAAATTAGATGTATTGTTTATAGATGCCATAAAGAATTATCTAGAAATATGAAATATTCTCTCCAAAAATCTCTCTCTGAAACGAAATCCAGTCTTCCGGAGGAACGACAAGATGTTGATGAAACACACGAATCGAGCGATCTAGCAGAAGATCCAGATCGACCTACCACGCTCGATGAGGATGGTCTAAAAAATAAAGCTACTAAACAGAGATTCGAACAGTCTCTAATTGAGTATATGTAAAGATGAAAGAGAAGAATATTCTCATATATTATACAACAAGACGATCGAAAATACTCGATAATACGAGACGTATTGCCTGAAACACCACGAGACCGAAGGTCGAGTGGTGTTTTTTAAGGCAATACGTTGAGATTCGAGTATTTTCGATTGTCGTGTTGTATATGGCTAGACTATTTCATGAATAAAAAATACACAAATTTTTAGAATTTTAATATTTTTTTAATAAATTACATTGATTGTTATGGAAACATGCATGGATGTCTCGAAATTAATTAAATGTCAAACAAGCGATAATACAAAGGTTCGTATTACAGCGATAATACAAAGGTTCGTATTATCGTTCTCCATGGTTACGGCCAAATAACCGCTGAAATANTCGTCAAGATAATATTGATCTTAGATTCATTTACTTTTTGGAAAAAGAAATTTTTCACACCAGGTCTGACATTATTAGCATAAAAGTTGTGCACGTCCGGGTCGACCTCAGCAGATCGTCCCGAAATCGAAGAAAAGTACCCAGTCAAAGCTTCAACATCTCTCAGAGTCGTCGGTAGGCAGGGTTTTTTTTTATTATAAATATTCAACTTGCGCAGCTCCCTCCACAAATTTTGAGTGCTCTCAGTTCTCATTTGCTCAGTTAAGTAAGCTCTTTTTTCACACTTAATTGCATTAGTCGTATAATT